TTTTTTCTAGGGTGTAAAAGAGTTTTGGTAATATTTATAAAGAAGGACTTAACACTTAGTTCCTGACTAAATAGAAGGCATGTTAAAGCAATATAAATAGTGCTTTTTTGTCTCCCCAGGTTTTACAACTTAACACTTATGTACACTTAAATTAAAATAATCGGCTGTCAATAGCGTTGCCGCCACAGCCGTGGTTGTACAGCGCTAGAAATGTTTTTGTTAAAATGGGGGTAATGTGCCTCAAATCCATCGCTCTGTCGATGAGTTTTGAAATCAAATATTATGTTTTTTTTATGATCACATAACTTGTAAAGAAATATACTTTTTTAAATTGATTAGAGTGAAAATCTGGAGCCACCCTTTTAGTTTAACTAATGTATATGATAAAAGAAAGTAATAATATAGCATGTTTCTTTTTAAAGAAACATGTCAGAAAAGATTAATAACCTCAAAAATTAAAACATTGCTGATGGGAACATGTATTTCACAATGGGGAAAAAGAGTACATATTTCGTAAAAACGAATTATTATTTCGAAATTACGAAATAACATTTCGTTTTTACGAATTAATATTTCGTAATTACGAATTATATTTCGTAAATACGAATTAATATTTCGTAATTACGAAATAATATTTCGTAAAAACGAATTAATATTTCGTAATTACGAATTAATATTTCGTAAAAACGAATTAATATTTCGTAAAAACGAATTATTATTTCGTAATAACGAAATAACATTTCGTTTTTACGAATTAATATTTCGTTATTACGAAATAATATTTCGTAAAAACGAATTATTATTTCGTAATTACGAAATATTATTTCGTAATTACGAAATAAAATATTTCGTAAAAACGAATTAATATTTCGTAATTACGAAATAATATTTCGTAATTACGAAATAATATTTCGTAAAAACGAATTAAATGCCGGGGAAAAAGTGTCGAAAATGTCACCTTAGGGGCTCCGTACAAACTAGTACTTCATAAATCAGAAACACTATGCAGTGGGGCCAGACAGAATGAGCAAACAAAAGGTGATTTTTTTATCCCAATACCATGCTAAATAACATAAATGGACCTGTCCCTCTTTCAATCTGGACAAGACCATTTATCATTTTTAGGGAAAAGTAAATTATGTACTGATTGAATAGCAAACAGTGGAGACCCTGATCATGTCACGGTTCAGAACTGTTCACTAATTAGGGGAAATGTGTAAGTGGCCAGATTGCTCAGTCGGTGGAGACCAGAACCGTTTTCCGAGGGTCCCGGGCTCGAGTCACTGTCAGGTTGCACATTTTTCTCACCCTGTCACAATCAGATAGCACAGATGGATGACAAAGAGCACAATAATTATTATTGTTTGTAAGATTTCGTACCACATCAGACTGGTATAGTATTGTCTTCACTGAAAATTTCACAGATCTCAGCAATAATATTTTTTCAGACTGGTTTGAATAGCTGTAACATTTTTGTAAGGAGACAATAGTATTGTGAGAGATTGTATTTATTTCACAAGTACTTAAACCAGTCAGAATGACAATTTGATTGTGGTACAATTCAATGAAGTACATAAATTATCAATATGATGGCTAAATTGATTTTGGCTTCTATTATAGCTGGGATATTTAGTGATACAAGACCTGTCCAGATCTACTGGCAACACTTCTAATTATTGATTTTGAGGCCAATAACAAAAGTTATAATTGTTTTCCACTCTTGACTTTGATGTTGGATATTTGTAGAACCTTTCTGTATACCTTTATACATTTTTAGGTAGCTCTCCCCATCATTGATTGGAGATAAAATTAATTGTGACCTTTTTAAAGTTTTTGCAAATTCATAATATTTTAGTTGAGTATTTTATGAAAGATTTTTTTTTAGGCTGATTGAATTTGCTTGGTAAATAAATAATCTTGTATGTTTTATGGATTTTAAATTTTTAAAAGCTATTTTCAAGTGTAGTATAAATATAGCTACTTGAGGATTGCTGACTTTTTAAATGACACTGTTATGATAACAAAAAATTATCTCAAATTAAAAGCTCTCATAAAAATCAATCATGTTCTTACCTGATATAATATAAGCATGCAAAAAATATAAGGTGCCATTTATATTAGTTTCATAAAAGTTTTAAAGGTCTAGAAAGCGGACTTACCACTTAATTAGAGTGCCAAGCTTTTTCAGCACAATTGAGTATATTTAATTTTAAACTTACTTTGGTACATTGTAGTAGTGGCAAATATTTTGTTTAAAACTTGTCATTTATTGAAGAAAAAAAATTGTTTGTAATATTTCAAATTTTTGTTCAATATTTGAAGTATTTATTTTTCAAGATGTGGCAAACCTTTTTTGTTAAAGTTACAATTCTTTTTCCTTTCAATTTTTGTGTGTGTGTGTTGTTTTTTTTCTTAAAGGTGCTAATTTACTAAAACAAAAAGGGGTTTCAAAAACCCTTTTGTAAATTTTTTAGAAATTTAAATTAAACCCCCGATTTTTTGAAAAAGGGGAAAATCAAACTTTTTTCCACAAAAAATCTATTTTTAATTACCGTTTTTTTGGGAAAATAAACCAAATTAAAATTTTTAATAAATCCCCAAAATAAATGATCCCCCCTGTGTTTCCCAAAATATTTTAAAAAAATTAAAAATTTTTCAGTTTTAAGGGACCCCACCTAAACAAATATTTTTAAAAAGGGTTTAAACCCTTTTTGTGGAAAATTTTTTAACGATTGCCAACCCATTCATGTTTTAAATTTTTAAAGAATTACACCCTAAAAATTTAAAAAGGAAAAAAATTGAAAACTTCCCCAAAAATTTGGGGTTTCCCAAAAAATTTAAAAATTTCGTTTTTTAAATTTTTTGCCCAAGAAAGGTATCCCAATATTTTTTTCCCGTGGGATTAAATGCATGCTGAATGGAATTTATGCTTATTTAAGGAATTGTTTATGAAGTTAAAACATGTGTAAGCATTGTGTTTTGTTATGCAGGTATGCCGTTTGTGTAAATAAGATATTATCAGAATTGTTAATAATAGTGATGTGTTAATAATTCTGTATTATTCTCTATATACATGTATGTCTTTTATGTGTATTAAAAAAGGACAATTGAGTTACAGAGTTGCTTTTGTTGTGACTTTGTTTAATATTTTGTATGGTTGTTAAAATTAAGTATTTAAATAAATTGTTTTATTTATAGGTTTTAGTATTGCAAAGTATTTCAGTTGTTGCCCAATGATATTACGTATAAAACTTTTTAATAAAAGGGTAAATTTAGCTAGCAGATAGATTCTTTTTGTAATTTAATTCTATTGTTATTTCTTTGATGAGGTTTTATCAGAAATTTGTTAAAAAAATCATTTTTTTTTTGTTTAGCTGATTATCGCTGTACTGTAGATTAAATTTTATGCAATGAATATTAATACTAATGTAATCATGCAAAAAAAATTGTCTTTAGTATTTGGTGTGAAACGCATAATAATTTGTTAGCAATTATAATAAAGATGTAAATTTTTATATATCAGTCATTCAGATCATGTGTTAAATTGATAAATCACCTGTCTTTTAATTTTGTGTAACAAGTCATGCAAAACAACATCTGTTACGAAAAAAAAGCTCAACATTATGTATGTATTTGAGCTTTTACTTACGTTGAATATTAAATCAAATATTAAATCATTTTATTATTTTTACTGTAAAATGTCTTAACCCAAAAAGCCCACTGAATTAATTAGAGATTTCAATATCAAAACATTCAAAAATTGAGCTACATAAATTTATTTTATGTTCAGACTTGCATGGCTTTGGATTTGTCACAGTGGCTGATTAGTTTGGTACCAGCAGGCTACGAGTTTAAGCTCTATGTTTGGTTTGTTACCAACTCAAATAAACTGTGAGTTAAAAGTCTAAATTCAGAATGCTACAAAATAATTTTGCAACTTCTGAGAATGTTCAGGTTTGAATTACAATTGGTAGAGATGATGAAAGTTCAAGTTTCGGGACTTCTATCACAAGAACTAGAATATAGCTAAGTCTCTGCATAAATACTAAGTAAATTGCATGACAAATTCTTAAAACTGTGTGCTCAGGTTTTAATTAATTAATATGCAAATGTGCGTCAAAAAATAATCAGCAAAGTCTGTGAATAATCTGTCAGATGACACGATATAAACATTACATCAAGCATGGGGAAATGTACAAAAACAAGGGATACCCACTAAAATATGTAATGCCAGTAGATTCTAGGTCTAATTTATAAGTTCAAATCGACAGAAACTAGTAAATAGTTGATAAATAATAGATTGTTTGGGAAATTTTGTATTTAAATTCTGTATGTATGATAAAATGGTTCACAAACCAAAACTTACATCAATATAATAGTTTCTCTTTATATAGCTTCTTCAGTTGACACATGATAGATACCAAAGGAAATAACGTAAACCATACTAAAACAGACGTCTACGTTAATAGACACCATATTTGGCATGTAAAAGGAACGTTATAAAATAAAATATATTGTCTATAACTGTTTTATGCAATACATTATGTACATGTGTATAATTTATATAGATATAATTATAATGTAACAAGCACAAATATTTTTTGAAAAATTTTCATAAGATAGTAAGGGAATCTGTATTAAAGACATAATTTAGATGGCCATTTGAATTTGGTTTTGAGTTATAGGGCCTAAATTAGACAATGAATTTTCAATATTATATAAAGGTTGTATACATAAATGTACTATTTTGTGACTGCACGGTAATATGTAATCTAATTGGGCAAGTATCATGTGGAAAATTGTAACTAAAATAAATATCCTATGTAGAAATGGTAAATTAAAACCACTCTGATAATAGGGAACAAAATCAGTAGTGCAGGCAGCTTTTGTGTGGCCTTTGATATATAATATATCGGTATATATTGTCAGTTAATATTGAAACTTACATTCAATTAGCTTTCTTTATTTACAAATGCCGTGTCTTTGATCTATTTATACAGATAGCCCACTGGTTGTTGATATAGTAAACATGAAGGAATGAAGAAATTACAACTCCCGTCAGTCATGGAGAAGTGACTTCAGATAGGTGCGTAATTTACTGACTATACACATTTTCTTTTGATTTAATGCCTATATTTAAATACAGCTCATTTAAAATTCATACTTATCATGATAATGTTCATCCATTGAAACACATGGGGCACGATGCAGAGATTGTATCAATTAAAATACAGGTTCTTTTTCATTTTGGGTGTGCTGTGAAACACCTTATCTTGAACCGGGAAATTTAAAGTGAGCCTTGAATTATGTTTAAAGGTAAGAAAAAAGCTTTCTTACATTTAATCTTAATTATTATAATTATTAAGTAAGTAAGCTTAGATTTTATGTTTCTGAAACACATTGACTTGATGTTCTGTCCTTTCATGATATACTAGCTGGGCAGCCATTTTCTGACACACTGGGCCTCTTACACTACAAATCTAAATGAAATACCTTCTTGGCTGAGTGAGGCGCTGTATGAGTCCCTGAGTGAGTGTCAGTCCCTCAGTGTGTCAGTTCCTGAGTGAGCCTTGACAAGTTGAGTGATTGAGTCCCTCTGAGTAAGTGAGTCCCTGAGTGAGTCAGTCACTGAATGAGTCCCTGAGTGAGTCCCAGAGTGAGTCCCTGAGTGAGTCAGTCCCTGAATGAGTCCCAGAGTGAGTCCCTGAGTAAGTCAGTCCCTTAGTGAGTCCCTGAGTAAGTCAGTCCCTGAGTGAGTCCCTGAGTGAGTCAGTCCCTGAATGAGTCCCTGAGTGAGGCTGTGTGGTTGGAATAACTTGTCCTTGACACTGCTGTGAGTTTCCAATACTTTCAACTGCAGTTTCGTTAAAACTTTTCATGTGAGGAAACTGTCCAACTTATGTACAGATAGGTAGTTAGGTAGGTCAGGTTATGTCTTGGATCCCCACTATTTGTATCTGATGTCTTCTTGACCTCCAGCAGTACAGTACAGCTTGACAGTCACTACATGACCTTTACAGTGTCACTGTCACATAAAAACTAATCTCTCCAAATACCCAGCAGGCTAGCAAACCAACCTTCCCCCACTTCCCCCAGTTACATCCTCCACCTTTGTATTTCCTGAAAGAAATAAAACATAACACCGAGCATCAAGCAAAGAAAGCCATGTGTTTGCAAAACTTGCAAGGTCATTGTCAGACCAGTTTTCGCGATATGTTTATGTATATGATATGTATAATAAAGTGCTCAAGTGTCACATCGTAAAAAATGTGTCATAAAAATTTGATGTAAAAGTTGTGAAAACTTTTGAATTTCATTTTTAGATGCACACCACATTGTGATGCAAAGAACCGTGAGATTGTGCTTGTATCACTAAAAATGTTACTTTTTATGCGTAAATCTTACAGTCTAAAGAATACTTTATTCATGATGTGAATTATACTACCAAAAAAATATTTATTTATCTTCTAAAAGTAATATTTTTTAGTTTGAAAAAAAAAAATGCTGACACACTCTTGAATGGAATGACTTAATGCAATAAAAATTCATAATCAGTGTGTATTTTTTTTCCCAAATGTTTCTAAATGATAAAAGGTGTTTAAGTTTTTTCGCTGTGTATTGTAATGCTAAGATTTTTAACATTTTTGGTACAATTAAACTTTTTAAAGAATTGATTAATTAAGTCAATGCATTTAGTTTACACAAATTTATTTTTTAGTTTATTGTTGGAAGCTATAAGCTTATTGAAACATTCTCCAATCTGTTCCTGGAACCAACCAGTACAATGGCTTGCCCCTGACAGGGTTTGACCCCACTCTGTCAGGAATCCTTAGATTACTAGTTCGAAGTGTTAACCACTTGGCCTAGCCACCACTCTAAAGTGAATGCATGTGTGATGGTATAAAAAAACCATGCTGGCTTAAAATCTCTGTTGTATTGTCTGTTCTGTTGTTGTTGTTCTTGCTGCTGTTGGGTTTTTGTGTGTGAAAAAGGGGTAAACGAGTAGTGAAACATTTAAGATAATTTTCATGTACATCACTGTAACATCACATTAAAGGATGATTTGTATGTATATACGTTCTTTTATCTCATGAAAAAAATTGCTGATAATTGTTTTATGGTCTATTGGATACAATTCTATAATTAAAATGATTTGAAAACTTAAAAGGGAAAATGTTTGTGAACTATAAATATTTAAGATGAGCTTTATAAAGCTCATAACACAAGCAATTTTTATGTCATTTTGAAAACATTAGTGAACATTAATCTCTCTCTTAAGATGATATTTTGACATGTGAATTAAATCTAAGGTATAAAGTGTTTTTAATGATTTTTTAGTATGACTTCTTGATATATCTGCCAAAATACCTTTTGATGTATCAAATTGCGAAACTGTATCTTTTAAAGACATGATGTTACATCTCAACGACTGATAATAATTTGAAAAAAATGTAGTTTGATACTCGGTTTTTTTATGGCTTAAATTAAATACGGTCAAATATGTAAAAGAAAAAATCGTATGTAAGTTAGAATAGTAACTGTTGTGCTACAGTGAAGATGTACAGAATTAATCGTGTTGATCAAATTATATATCTTATAGTAAATTGATGTCGTGACCTTGCCAATTATTTGCCTCGGAGCAACTCATTTATTTAATTTTATCCGTCATAAATGAATGTTAAGTTACTTAACATTAATATATGAATATTACATGAGTGTTTTTCAAGAGCTTTTGTTTACAAACATGGGATTGTAAGAGGTGTCCAAATATTGTATCTTAAAATTAAAATGTTGACCATTTCAACTAATCGTGTCCAGTGATATTACCTTACTTGAATGAATACAAGTTTGGTAAATGAACAGCAAATTTCACCTTTTAGATATGTGATTGATAAAAGGGAGGAATCTAATAACTAATTTATTGTTAAACATGGGATATTTATTCTGAGACTGTAAGTAAAATTGAATTTTAGTATAACTTTAAAATATATTTTAATTACGGTTTGATAAAGAAAGAAAACAGTTGCTATTCAAAGGGTTAACTACCGTCACTTGGTAAGTTTTAAAGATGCACTCAAAGCTATTTTCATCAACCCTCTTTGCAAAGTCATGTTTTCTTCATGTATCTAACAGTAACAAAGTTCCTGATCACATGATTTTACTAGATCTTCACATCAAGTATTTTCCTTAATTTTGATATGTTGTTGGATAATATTGATATTTTAAACATCATGTACAATGTACTATGGGAAGTCTTAATAAATTTAGTTGATATTATTTACATTTTAGAAGATTGAGTTACCATGGATACCTCAGACATCCAGGGGGATGAGACAGTAAGTCTGTCTGACGTTCTGGTCGCCCGTGATGCGTGTCTCCCGGAGGATGAACTCTGGGCGTTGTGCCGGGAATGCTGCCTTGTACTGGAGGTTGTTAACAACTCCCCTGACATGTTTCAGACACTGTGTGTGACACCTGACACTGTAGCATTTGATCAAGTCGGAAACGTTTGCTTCCTTGACCTAGATGTTGGTAAGTTGAATCAGAGAAATATAAAACCTTCGTCTGCTGGCGGCGACTAATTTTACCCATGCAACTAGTGCAGACCAAGAGATCCAGCATGCCTTTGCTGTCTGATCATGGTCTGCACTGTTCACTATTCAGAGATTCAGTTATTTTTTAAATGTTACTTATAATAGTGTTTGGCTTAGTCAAGATTGAAACTCCACTTACAATATAAAGCGTGGTGAATGTTGACTATAAATATATTCAGTAGAAAATTAAAATGACAATATCAGATGATGAGAATTGGTGTAAAGTGATTGTAATTCATTCAGTATGTTATATCAGTTACAACTGTTTTGCACAAAGTCCTAAATTTGTGGTCTTACAAGAAGAAGAAGGTATTTTGATTAACTGTATATTTAAGTTTCAGGAATTGAAAGTAATTATGCATATATTTTTGAAGAGGCCTACCCTAGATTTCGGTATGAAGCCCTAGATTGGTTACTTGACTTTGGGGTATTATTCTATGTGGTCACAAAGCTTGAATTTACGATGTATGTTTGCTTAAAGAATTATGGTAATACAAATAATATTCAGCTGTTTTGTAATATCAAAAGTTACAAGTTGAATTTCAAGTAATGATGAATCATTTCAATTTGAATAGAAAAAAATAGGCAAAACTATTAATTTGATATACGTGTGTTTTAGATACACATCATATTTCATGTTTTGATTTAAAGAAGATGAAAGAAATGTAGGAAAATTGAAAAGCTAGAAAACGATATGTGTAATATACATAATTTTATATCCCTTTCCATAACCTTCAAAAGTTACGAGATTATTTTACTACGTATAAAGTAACCAAATTCGGATTGAATGACGAAGTAAATTTTATTTTCATCTCCTATAAAAAAATCTTTACACAAAATCTCTACAGCGAGCCAAAAATGTTTTTGTTTATGTGAAACCGCTATGGCAAACTGTTTTTTTGTTTAGCCGCACAGATTTAAACGTGTGCCAAACATAAACCCCGTAATCCCAGACTTGTCATTGTGTCCGGGCATAATATTTTAGAAGCTTAGAAAGATTAAAGGATGATAAATCAGTGAAAACACAATTGGCAAGTATTTGAGGGACAGATTAAGCGGCAATTGTATTGCTCAATTTGTTAATAACAAGTGGGATAATAAGGCCAGATATACTTATCCTCTTACCATTATATATCATTATATTACATATGTTTTGATATTATAGAGACAACTATTTCTTTCCTTATTCGAGGCGATCAGAAAACTTCATAACGTCATGTAACACAAAGATTTGTCTCGCTGATATTCAGTTAATTTTTTACCTTTGAGCACTGTCGACTCCTTTGAGCACTGTCGACTACTTTGAGCACTGTCAACTCCTTAGAGCACTGTCGACTATTTTGAGCACTGTCGACTCCTTTGAAAACTGTCGACCCCTTTGAGCATTGTCGACTCCTTTCAGCACTGTCAACTGAATATTGGCAGCCCACAGCTTGTTGAATAATGAAAACATATTGTAGTAGTAATAAGGGGGAGGGGGAAGTACCTTGTAAAGTGCGAGATTTTATTCTTTTAAAGTGCAATTTAATCAATATGTTCAGGAATGAATACTATGTAAACATTCAGAAGCTAAAGGCTTTTTGAAAATGAAATTTTTGATAAAATAGAAATCTTTAAGAATGCCAAACATGGAAAAAAATTTCAAATGTTGCGGGCTCTGAGTTTGATTGACTCTAGTGCGAAATGAAAAGTTGTGACTTGACACACCCAAATTCCACTCATACTGAATTTAAATGGTACACTATACAAGTAACAGCATTATTCTCCTTGAAAGGAACAATGTATCCAAAAATATCATAGTGCACATAATATATCTTGCATAGTTCACATTTCACTTCCTCATCTTTAATTACAAATGTATATTTTCTCATCCATTGACAGTGAGTCGAGAGGAATTAGAAAACATGTTATATTCATAATTATCTGCTGTCTATTTATAACGTAATTTGTTTACAAGAATAGTTTACTTGACTATGATAATGGGTGGGTAGTCTGCGGCCAAGTGGTTAAGGTTGTTGACTTCAAAGTACTTGCCCCCTCACCGCTGTTGGTTCAAATCCCACCAGGGACATTGGATTCTTGCATGTGGGGAAGCTATCCAGCTTAGCTTACAGAAAATTGATGGTTCTACAGAGGTGTCCGTGTGTGCCTGAACTATTATGCAAGAAAGGGCATCTGAGGTCCTCCTCCACAAGTAGAGCTGGAAAGTCTCCATATGACCTATAATGTGTTAATGCGAAGAAAAACCCGACCAAAAATAAATTATAGGGCTATCCTACTGATGTTGTGTTTCAAGACTTATAATGCATGGTTATAATTTTCATCATAATGAAGAAGATTTGTAAAGCATTCAAACATTATTATTACCACAATTTTTTTTCTTTAAATGATGAGGATTTCCCAGCGATCGTCTAGGAATATTTGTCAATTAGTTCAAACAAGACTTGGCATTTTTTTTCATGTTAATAAGGATGGCGCTCATGTTACTAATATTCAAATCTTGTATTCTATCGATAATGTATAGGATTTTTATGGTATTTATAGGTTAATCCAATATTTCTACTTTTGTATAGCATTTGTGGATAAATATTTATTCTTAGTTTACTGTTGATCTACTTTTAAAATACTTAATCCTAAACCGTATAATATGTGAAAGGAAGTAATGCTAGAGGTATTTCAATGTCCGGACAGAAAAAGGGCAACCTGTTCAATAAGATCCTGTAATAGATTTATTTAATATATGTTTTCCTAATACTCTGTAACAAAATACTTAATAGTACACTTAGTATATATAACCCAATGCTTCAAAAATATTAAGACCCTTTCCAGACAGTGTTTAAGTGAAGTTTTGCCAATTTTCTTTACTTGCATGTTTAGGCATCTGAGTCTCTATCCAGTTTTGTTGTATTTTAATAAGAGATGCAGATAGTGCAAACTTTTGGAAGAAATTCAAATCCATGCTACATAAGGTTAATGCAAAAGTCATTTTGTTACCCCACCCATCACATCCAATATAGCCCCCCTCCCCCCCCCCCCCCCCTCTTTGAGATTTATACCAGAAAATTTGATTTTGTAACTATCAAAACCTTGGTATAAAATTTCAATCAGATGGAAAAATCTGAAATGTAGCCACCATACCAGTTTACTAGACAGTGCTTATAGAAAATTTAATCCACTGTAGTGGCACAGTAGTACTGAGACAGCTTGAATGTAAAAACATGGTTCATTTTCATTTCTTGGCTCTAAACCCCTTTTTGAATGGAGAAATTACTGGTTCAGTTAAATTTGATGATTAAAGTATGTCACACTGCAAGCATTAAATCCTCAGTTGTTTTCTACTGACATACGAATAGAGTAGCAATCAATCTGGCAAAACTTCAACAAAAAAATTAATCATGTTGACCACAGATAAATAGTTCCTTGAATGTCACATTTCCGATACTTTATTGACATACCTTGTAAGCATTTTAATTTATACAGTATATACACAATATGGTCAATACTATGCCATATTGTTGAGAATGGCAAATGTTTGAATTCTGATTTCAATTTATCAATGACTAATTTCCTTTGGTGTAGTCAGACTGGGCCCCAATGGACAATATATTGGCTCGCATTGGAAGTAGATTGGGCCGCATTGGCTTTACTTAATGTTATCATTCATTTAATACAAATTTTGCTGACTGTCAAACTTGAAATATTGATAAATCTGTCGCTCATTAATAATCCATTCTACATTGATTAAAGCGATGATACTTCAAATATATTATGTCCTTAAATGATATTAATGTATTCAATGAAAAACAGATCTTTCAAAAGGACAGTCTGTTGTGACAAAAACATAAGTTTTAGCTTGACTATTATACAGTATACAAATGCATGTATATAGATTTCGGATTCACAAATCTAAATAAATTTATAAATACATGTGGATATGGAGATTCATCCTATTCATTTGGGGAATTTAGGGGCATGAGTCCAGAGTTGCGCCCCTTTTTCACTGAACCATTTGATATCTTGCTTTCGAACTTTGAGTTCTTACTGAAAATATTACCTTTTAATTGTTTTATTATGAGACTATAAATACAACCACTTACAACTGTGTCAGGGAATCAATTCTTTGGTTCAGTACTGAGTAGATAGGAGTTTATCAGCTTGTAAGCCATTAGGAATTTGAAATGTGTATGACCTTCACATTCATTTCTAGCCAAGAGTACATAACTCTGTCATGGATTTTGACATGTACTCCCCTTTGACTTCCAACCCTGAACATGAAAGGCAGCTTTAACTGCCTCAACCATTGCAGCCAGATTAATAATAATAATAATGTAAATTTTGTATTTCTGTGAAATGAACCGTACAAAAACTGACTAAATCTAAATAATTGTAACATTGTCATCATGTATACAGTGTTCTGTTGTACGGACATATAGGAGGTTTTATATCAGTATTGCATGCCAGCCACATGTCAGATAGAGCAAATTTCAAAGGCAGTCAACAGTTTGAATGATTGATTATTGATTGAATACTGATACACAAATCACACACACATTGATTAGATAATAGAACAAATCATGCTGATCACCAAACAAGTGTTGGGCAGTGCATTATTTACAGAGGATTATCTCCGGCGACCCATATCTTACCTGCGGAATTAGGAGTCTCTTGAGGAACTCTTTGTTTGGGCTTTAAGTTGAGATAATGCCAACATTCATCAAAAATGTTTTAAGTTACTGCCAAGATTCATCAGTTTTTAAAGACACCCTGTGGACTACTGTATACTTGTGAACTAATATGTCAAATTGGCTCTGATAATGCTACTGAAACAAAGACAAACAGAGTATTATATATTGAATATAGGACAATATAATTATGTTTACAATGGCAACATTGACAATATAAATTGTGTAATGTTTTAACCTCTGACCGCCTAATATCTTAAATGGACTTGTCCGTCTTTTCAATCTCGATATAAACCATTCATTATCTTTAGGGGAAATTTATTAATATTCACTGACAGAATAGCAAACAGTGCAAACCATGATCAGATGGCAAGATAATTAGGATAATTTAATGTTTTATTGCTTAATTATTGTTATCAGTTATTATCAAATTACTACTAGTACATCTATTTGCTTTTTACAGTAAACTATTTTCTGTCCAAAGAATAGCGCTTGAATACATTTTTATCTGAAGTATGAAAAAAATATCAATACTTTATTATTGAACAGCCTTCTTGAGGTCATTAAGTACGTAAATTTATGTATAGTGTAATTCAAATCAAACATTTTTTATTATAGGCCATAGTAGAAGTGGTAAGATACCAATATATATTGAGTACATAAATGTATATACTTACTCAGGGATTTTTCAGGTCACATAAGAAAAATATGTCCCACGGAAAAAAGGGCTTTGGCTAGAGTATAAACTATTTATGTCAAACTGCCTGTAGTGAGTAGTATATTTTTTAAGATACAGTAAGCAAAATATGTCACAGGTGAAAAAATTGTACTTTTAGCATACATGAGGATCATGTCACAAATTTAAAGAATGTTTGTTTTTTTATTGACATATAAGTACACAGAAACAAATATTGTGATGCCATTTAAATTTTTTCAACAATTCTTGCATTTTTGTAAAACAGTTTCTTTATTAAATATATCAATTAAGAGCTGGCTGTATTTAAAAACAAAGTACATGTACCATAATTAAATTTTGCATGATTATATTTTATTGGGACTTAGGGTTATGGGAATGTTGGTGCACTTAAAGGCACATCATGCCTCAGAAACAAATAAAGGTTTTCTTCTTTGGAAAAGGGAAACATGAGATTTATAAAATTTAAATTATATTAAATTTTTTAGAGCAAGTAAGATGCTTGTAACCTGGAGAAAGTAGCACTAAATGTGACATAATTCATCACAAAAGTAGCAGAATGTAAGCAAAGTAGTATTTTAACTTCTATACAAAATACTAAATCACTATAATTGTACTTGTTGCTAAAAAGTGAAGGAAGACAAAAAGATTGTTCATGAGGCAAGATTTCAAGGGTCAATGAGTATCTTTTGAAAACTAATAAAGTACACCAAAAATTGAAAGCAATGAATTATTTACAACAGCAGCTGCTGTGCTAGTGATAAATATAATGATTTGGTAATTTATCTTTTACATAATGAGATATTTTGGTGGTCATTAACATAAATCTGTTGAAGAATGATATTGTGATGAAAGTACTTTTCACTGGGGAAATTTTACAGTGTAATATGACCAGATATAGGTGATAATAATGGGGCCTTTTATGAACATGTTGTAAATAAGGAATACAAAATATTAGGTTAACTGAAATATTAGATTCCCCACCCCCTTTCGAGCCATTAAAATTTATTAGGTATCATATCTTAACTATGGGAATCAACTTACTGTTTTGAATATGGGTATATGCTTACAACCTAGATATAAAAATGGGCGCTATCCTATGTCAGCTTATGTTATATTTAGGTTGATGTAAAATTTACTTTGTTCTGCGTACTAATGCTAATTATTTTATCCAAATTCACAAATCATGTCCAAACAAAATACTAGGTATCTATTAATTGAAAATTGAGTATTTTGAGATGAAATTTGAGGAAATGTATAATTAAAGATTATTAAATTACTTAAGGCATATAAAAGATTTTGAATATTATTAATTAACGGCTTTTATGAATTTTATTCAAAACTTATTTTTAATCAATGATTATATACTATGATGAGTACAAATATATAATAGCTCAGGGGGAGGGGGGGGTGGTTATTCCTTTTTGCAAAGAAAGTTAGATTTTTGCCGATTTCAATAACATGAACCTTTTTAGACTGTAATTGTTATTCTGGTGCAAATTTCAAGTATGGCCTCTGTATATGTACATGTAGTGTATTATAATCCGTATTTTTTTATATTTATCAATTTCACAGTTTTTCATGAAGATATCATGTTGGCTCCCTCATTGCAATCTATTTTATGCAAAATGCAAAATTCAGCACAGGTTATAATTTAATGAAAATGCTAAATGATCAAAGAATAATCAAAGCAATAATATTGAAAGGTTAATTGGTGTTTTTCAATCAAAAATAACTTAAGGCTATATCATTATGTACACATAATGTCAGCAAGTTTATTGTGCGCAGTAAGAACGGAATTTTAAAAGAGAACAAAGAAAGGTGAAAAGAAAGAAAAGAAAAGAAAGAAAGAAAGAAAGAAAGAAAGAAAGAAAGAAAGAAAGAAAGATTAATGTCTTGTTAACTGAATAAAGAAAATAAGAAAAAAAAATGTTAACATTTAATTAGCAAAGGATGATGTTAATTTAGTAATTTACACATGTATGTTATCATATGAGAGTACAGTACAAGAGTTATTTACATAATTATGTTTAAGGTATAGAAATTTCATACAATACAAATTCTCCTTGATATTTGATAAGTTGATAAATAATGTATGTTGTAAACTAAATGACAATATGTCAGGTTGGTCTACCCAATAAAAGATTTCAGTGTCATCCATATTTACCTGATTATACATGTATGATGTTCTGTTAAATCTGTTATTAATAAGAATCAAAATGATGTAGCAATAGATTACTTTCACTAAATATCACACACAAAATATGACACTAGTGGAATGCCATTTTTGAAAGAAATGTACCTGGTATCTGTTTTTAATAAATAATTCTCAGTGCATATATATCCTTAGTGTATTTCTGTTGAAGGACATATGTTTTTATTATTTGAAAGCTAATGTATTAATTTATGTGTATGACTAAAATCATTCCTTATCTTGCAGAAAAGTTGAATTTTGTCCCATTATTTGGAACTGTATATTATCAATTTTTGTAATATATAGATGAAAATTTGAAGTTCATTAGCAATATTATATAGCTTTATCTTAGTAGACTGGATTGATGAGCAGACTGGCCCAGTGGCTCATATGGGAAAGACTAACAACTTTTTGCAATACCAAGATAAGGGTGCAGGGGGTGCAAAATAATTATTTAATGCCTTTCAAAGATTTTCCATTGTTGTTCAACTTGTAGCACCTGTTATCATAATGAACTGTTTAATTGATTTATAAATCAATCTTTTTCTTGTATTTCCAGATCCAGAACCAATTTACCTGTCACCTGAGTACAGCACAAACGGGAACACTTACAAGGTATGCTCCATTACAATATTGAATATTGTTGGCACTCAGTTGATTTTACAACTTTTTCAGTTCATGTAACTGTTTAATAATATCTGTCATATTTTGCGGTTCGGATCGGAATATCCGTCCCGAGGTGACCCGCCCATTGGGCGGTAACGAGGCTTGCCGAGTTACCGCCCATGGGCGGGTGACCGAGGGACGGATATTCCGATCTGAACCGCAAACATATGTCAGATATTTTTTCTTGCATATTCTATCATATTCCATTATATTTTAAATTCTTTATCTTTATTATCAATGAAAATTTATATCATTACAACCGTAACTACTTTCATTCAACAGCGTATGAATTACAAAATCATTCATAACGGTAAAATGACGTCATCTTTATCGTGCCATTGTACAGCACGCGACTCATCTGGAACCCCCCATGCCAGATGAAATTTCCGGCATGGGTAAAACTAACGGAAACGCCAGTCTGATATGCAAGAATAACATGTCAATCATCTGTTATTTTGCTCCCACAAGATTTTTTTGGTGAAGCTTATAGTTTCTGGTTTATCCAGTCGTCTGTCTGCACTACCAAATAGGGATAGGGGGCCATTTAACTGTAAACAGAACAAAAGAGGACAATAGAGTTCATTTTGTAACAACAGAGTCAGGGGCCAGCCAATGACCCTTTATTTAACAAAATATAAAAACAATAGAAATGGCCCCTAAGTATTCCATTTCGGGTGCAATTGGATGTTGGACTAACATCCATGGTTTGAGTTTCATTCTATCCATAATTTTCCCAAAACCCTCTGGAAATGTTCACTGGTTAATATTGAAAAATGCCACATAAAGGTCAAAGAAAAAGCGTAATACCGTAGATGTTGGTATGTCTGTCTGTACATTCATTCATGCAGTCTGCATGACCAGGTTTTACTCTGTTGGCTGGCTAAACTTTTAACCCTGAAATCCAAAAAAAATGGATAAAATTACAGCCAAATATAAATGTGTTTGGCTTCTCTTTTTAAGGAATTCAGCAAGTTAAGGGTTAAAATATAAATTTCTAAGATGTTTTGTGTGCTGGGACCATCAATGGCCCTTTATCCTAGGATGGGATTATAGATTGCATGGGTCAAGGCCATTGAGAGCAATAGATTAATTTTGTAAAACAAATCTTACTTTACCAGTGACATAGCTTTGTCAAAGCGACAATGGGGAACTTCCACTGATCCTACCGATGTTCTAGTTAAACATGAAACAAAATATGTTTTCCATTACTGCAAAAAAGAAGAAGAGAAAAAAATACGGAAAATATTTCATTTCATTGATAATTGTCAGACCTGGAGGCAAACTCCAAAGATCAACAAGTTTAAGATGGATCTGGTTGTTTATAAAGTATGCTTAACATATTGTGCTACTACTTTGTAATTTTTGAACTTTCTTTTTATGACAAAGTATTCATTCAACTTTTAAGGTCAATTGCTTAACATTTTAAGTGGCCTTTGACACTTTGATGTTTTCCAGTAATTATTTAAGGCACACAGTCTACATCTGTGGTTGCCATTTACATTGTTATGTTGAGGGTGCCTTTTAGCAGGCCAATTTATAAGTAATTTTTAAGTGTTAAGATTGTTATAGAATTTGATAAACTGGGGTTATAGCAATAAATTTGAAGCATTGTTTGGTGTCACTCTACAAGCAGAAAAGGGGTAATAAATACATAAAAATTGCGATCTTTAAACTTGATTACACCATTTAATTGCTCCTTTTCTATGCTTACAAGGAATGGAGATTTTATGATAAATATTTTCAAAATATTTCAAGATTACATATTTTACTTATTAACTATGCAGCACATAATTGATTTTAACCTTTGGCATGCTTTAAATAACTTAACCTGACTGCACCGGTCGGCCTTGTTGTAAACTGGCTGCAAGGACTGGTCACCCTTGGTTCAATGTAATGTTTAAAACTGCATTATTCAAACATGGAATGCACAATTATAGCTTATTAGATAAACAGTCACGACTGTAAGAACATAAAGAAAAATGTTGTAATAAAATCTGTTAGATAATTACTCATCCATTTTTCCTGTTCATAATTAACCTTTACACCGAAGTAGTGACAAACACAAAATATGAAATTATGACGCAGTTAAAACTTAAGAGTGTTGTATTGCATTGTGGTACTAACATGACCCACCTTTGGTTTAAATTTGATAGGTTTTAAAAACTGTGAACAGATAATATAATGAGGCGTTTTCTAGTTTGATTTGTATACCATGTGATTTTGTTTTGATTCGAAACAATGCAGATCAAAGGTAATTAGATCAAATTCATTTCATTTTACTATTGTTATGAAATATATTCTTTTTTTGTTAGATTTTTTTTAAAGATTTCAAAGTTCACTATGAGTGAGTCAGTGAAAATTAATAATTTTATCAGTTTTCCTGGTAAAAAACATATACATGTATATGATCTTTTTTAAATGATACAGAGGGAGTTTAAAAGGGCCGTAGCTCTAGTATTAAAACAGAATTATTGCTCTTTTTACCTATATTGCTTTAAGAATATCCTCTTGTAGATTATAGTGAAATGTTTGACTTTCAAGATCTAGTCTTCATAATTAAATTTTGCTCAGTCTTAATAAAGATTGTATGATTAATGTTTTAAAGATCTATAAAAAGTTGAAAGGCCCTTTAAAGAAGCTTTATCACTTTCAAAGTACCATAGTTTCACATATTATTAGGAATTCTCCATGGCTGACTGGTTATCATGGTTCCAATTCCCCAAACGACACCAAAGCGAAGGCCCTGCCGGCGACCCTCGGCTACAGTTTTCTCGTCACATACCAACTACCCCTCCCCACAGTGAGTTCAAATCCACCAGGTTCTTTTAATCATATAGTACCGGTAAACTGCTTGACAGCCTGCCCAGTTAATGATGTGGTGGTTGAACTGTACTCTAGAGAGAACATCACAATCATCACTACCAATCATTTTTGTGTGCTCATTGCAGATGGAAAGTTGGTGATTCTACTAAGGTGTACTTATGTTTATAAAAGAGTTTTTTATATTTTAAAACTTGCTTCAGATTGAAGATTAAAATCAATTATTCAAGATTAAAGACCTTTCCTGCACCTGTAAGTATACAACATTTAACACTATAGCTAGTTCTTTATCTAGACATTACCCTGTGTTACTTCTTTTCCAGGCACACCTGTTCTCTCTGGGAATGACCTTACTTTACGCAGCAGAATACAATGTTGACCAATCACAGGAGGCTATATCTGCAGAGTTACGGGAACTGTTGGGTCGTATGACGGCAGATGAAACCACCAATCGTCCAGATCTTGAATCAACTATTATTCTCTGTGAGGAACAGCTTTGTGGTCAGTCATCCCAGGAAGTGTGCTGCGGCATTGCTGCCATTGTGGGATTTGGACTTCCTCAAGAAGGTATGCTGACATGTTGAAGTATCATAGTCAATATTGAATAGCTTACTACTGAATTCAAACAATAGGAGTAGGAAAAAATGAATGAGAAAATATTGACACTTCATCTGAATTAAAAATATTCAAAATATATAGGCATTTGACATCTGAACTGTTTTTTAAATAACAGTTTGAATAAGTGTATTGAATGTTACATGTATATCGAAGGTTTGGTGCGAAACAGCTTTAACTCATATTACATTATGAAGAAGTTAAGTCTGTTTTGCACCGATCCATTGACAAGTAATAAGTTTTGGGTGTTTTGCCATATTGGATCTTTAATATTAATTTAAGAGATGTTATAAATATATTAAGCATTGATTTAGATTGTTTATTGGCAAAGGCTAGTAGATAACACCTTCGTTAAGTGCCAATTTAAAATTCCTGATTCAAATCATTATGCATATAAATCATTATATTTGTTTGGAAAACAATCGAGGGTAAAAATATTTTATAAAAAATCTCTACACTGACTAGATTATATCACTGTAATTATTTTATTTGGCAGCTTAACAAGTCAAATTATCGACAAATATTGTAAAGATAGGTTACGCGGTGATATCTCAGTATACTTTGACAATGTGTAGTCAACATTTTCTCATGCATTTTTTTATCGTGTGTGATATATCATAGTCCTAGATCATGATTGCTGTGAGCCTTTAATAGAATTTAAACATACATAGGCACAAACTTTTCATTTTCATTGTTAGACAGTATATTTCCTTTAAAGGGTATAAAGCTATATCTTATGAAATATTTTTAGCATCTTTTTAAACAAAAAATAAAATTCATGTATTGAAAACCTATCCTGGTGTTGATGTGTATTACTCTTATACTTGAACTTATATTGGTAGATCTTTTTAAACAGTAAAATTGTGGTTTTCCCTTCATGATGTTATGGCCAACTGTCAAAAAAGTTGTTACATAAAATGTCTCCGTTATTTTTCACACATGAGTATTGTATGTTAATACGGAACAAAATATTATGCTGCTATTTTAGGTAGGATTTTATCCATTTAGAAATTATTTCGTGCATGAGCTATACACTAAAAAAGGAAAAATACAAACAAATTGCTTTTTTAGGTATTTTTTGAAGTGTTCTTTTTCATAATTCAAAAAATCAAAAATTGCAGCAAATATATAGCTTTATACTCCTTAACATTCAGTCATATGTAATTTCCGAAAAATGGCCGAAATGCAGTATGGAATAGTAGTCTTTTCTTTATTCTGAACCATTGTTTGCTTTATATTGAATAAAATATACATGTAAATATAATGATGAACATTATTGCTTAAATCTTCTTAAATGTTTATGAATGATTGTTACAAACAAGTTTGGCCCTAATCCTGATCTGGTATTTATTGAACAGATTTGCTAGACATAACATTTAAGTAAGATGAAAGCATTGATAAATTGTAATAGATTGCAATCAGAGCATACAACATCCGGTTCTGTTATTTTTTATCCAAGTACGTCTAAAAGTCTGTTCATTGTAAATATTTTCTTTCACTTCATATTCTTTTAAGTTTAGGAAAATAAAATAAGTGAAGGGTCATTGACATGTTAATGTTTAAGGATTACTTATGATTTAACCCCTAACGTCCAGGGACCGAAGATGATTACCCCTTGCCTTCAGTATAGAGCTAGGTAAGCCTATACATCCATGCAGTCTGACCAGGCTCTCACTGTTGGCTGAATATCTCAGATAGTTAAAATATCCTCAAAATTGATAATGGACATTTCCAAAACTGGAAGATGGGCAAGTCCATTTAAGAAATTCAGCTGTTAAATCCCAATCAACTGCATATTTCATTAAATCCATTTACTTGTCAAAGACCCATAACTTCTGCATGTATTTAAATGAGTAAAGATTTGCATGTTCTACTACAGCCACTGAAGATATACTCACACACGTTTTTTTCAGGGGGGAATAAGTAATTTAAAGATCATTGACCAAGGCCCATAACTCTTCAGGGTTAATACTGAATAATTTCCATTATAAACTTAAAAAAAGTCATTGATGTTTTCAAATTGTTGTTTGTAAATGACAGCTATTGTAAAAGATTTTGTAGGTAGTAGTTTGGAAGTGCCAGAGAAAAGGAAGAGAGTTTGAACAGTAGCTCTTACAGGCATGATTTTGTCACTTTGTAATTATGAAGGAAATTACTGAGATAATGTATTGCTTTTACAGTAATGGTAGAGAATTTTATACTGGAAAGGGGGTAACATGAGTAACCTCTATGGTGTTACCTCGGAGACGAGTACCCCAGATTATGTTTTAAGTATGATTGCATGTTCCAATGTACACTACTTGTACTACATGGTGGAATTATAAATTGTTTACTAACAAAACCATATATTTATATATTATACAACTTTAACACGATGTTGGGTTCAGGAAATGTGTCGGAATCCTTAAATGTTCAATATGAGCTCTGAAGACAAAATTTACATCATTTGCAAATGGCATGGACAAAAGATTTGACCAACTTTAGTTGTGAAGCAGATCTGATGCAAAACGATTTTTGATATTTCAGTATAAATTTATATAATGACAAGAATAAGCACTTTGATTTGCCTTTGATGTGAAATTTGTCTTCTTAGCTTTAAGTTACAAAACAGTTGTTTACTTCATAACATATTAACTATATATGTAAGATATAAGTTACTTGTGGGACAATTTGTTCAAGGTTATAATAATATTTGGGGTAAAATTAACTCTGCACTTGAATACACTTAATAAAGCTTTCATGCACCATTGTAAGATATATACGCTGAAACCCAAACTACAAAGTTCTATGACGCATAGGTCATAGAGCCAGGTCAGTCTGTGCGCTCCATAATGTCCGACAAGGTTCTATATATGCTGTGGCCAAACCCATTTCTGTATTTGCATTATGATTTTCATACAAGAGAGATTCTCAAGAAATTGGGAAATGTGAGGTTTTCCCATCTTACATCGATGTACAAACAAACTTTTACAGTTACATAATGGTAAATTTGCCGATAACTAGTGCAACACGTTGATCACTCTAGTATACCATGAAGCTATAATGGTAAAAGTTTAGTTGAACGGGAAAAACCCGCATCAATATTTTGTGAAGTTCCAGTTATTTGACGCGTTCATGAAGACAAAAAATTTATCATAATACAATTTGATTTTTTGTCATGACGGCAATATTAAGCTTTGGAGACAACAAAGATAATACGAATTGTTATCTTGCTAAACCGATACTTTCAAAATCTCTACAACAATTTTGATTTCTGTTAAAGAATGCATTAATGAATGCTTTACCTGTACACTAACTATATAATTTATGCCACTCATGTAATACTGGTGCCTTAATAATAATGAGCTATTTAAAATTTGAAATTATTACACTCAGGTTTTTCTGTTAAGAAACAATGTCAGGTTTTTTAGTGTTTTTTTTTTTTTAAATAATTTGGTGAAAAAAAATGCAATTTTTAAAAAAGTATGATTTTTAAGATTTCTTTCATCATAAATTCAGACTCCATTCAAAAATTGTCAATTCAGCATAACTATGTAGATTAAATCGACATATCACTTGTTAATAAATAAGACACATTGCCCTGTGTATAAATGTTTGTGTGCTCAGTTGCAGTTGTTTTGCATTTACTTCAAATAATTTTCCTTTGCCACCGGAATGAACCACATGTGCGAGCGTTTGTTTATAGTCCTTCAGAAATCATATTTTATGTTGTAGATTGGATTCTAACCTTTCTTGAAGCATGTTATAATACATTAATATTCATAATTAATACTAAAGTATATGAAATACATGTCATGATGAAAAACAAGTAATGATAAAAGTTATGTTTTTATGTCCCCCTTCGAAGAAGAGGGGGTATATTGTTTTGCTAATGTCGGTCTGTCTGTCCGTCGGTCTGTCTGTCCGTCCGTAGACCACATGGTTTCCGCTGATTATCTTGAAAACTATTTATCACAAAGTCTTCATATTTCACATAGTGATTGATCATAACTAGTAGATGACCCACATTGATTTTGGGGTCACAAGGTCAAGGTCACAGTGGCCTTAAATATCAGAATGGTTTCTGCTCATTATCTTGCTTACTATTTATCACAAAGTCTTCATATTTCACATATTGATTGGTCTTATCTATTAGTTGACCCCTATTGATTTTGGGGTCACTAGGTCAAAGGTCAAGGTCACAGGGGCCTTGAATGGTAGTTTGAATTCAACTTATTATCTTGGTTACTATTTATCACAAAGTCGTCATATTTAACATATTGATTGGTCATAACAAGTAAATGACCCGTATTGCTTTTGGGGTCACTACTAAGTTCAAAGGTCAAGGTCACAGGGGCCTTAAATGTCAGAATGGTTTCTGCTTATTATCTTAAAAACTATTCATCACAAAGTCTTCATATTTCATATACTGATTGGTCATAACTAGTAAGTGACCCCTATTGATTTTGGGGTCACTAGTTCAAATGTCAAGGTCACAGGGTTCTTGAATGTAAGTATGGTTTCCGCTCATTATCTTGAAAGCTATTTATCATAAAGTCTTCATATTTCTAAAATTGATTGGTCATAACTATTAGATGACCCCTATTGATTTTGGGTCACTAGTTCAAAGGTAAAGGTCACAGGGGCCTTAAATGTCAGAGTACCCTTGCAGAATTTTAGTTGGATTTCCTTAGAATTGTTTAGTTTTCTAATGTTTTCTATGTAATAAAGCCTTAAGATTTCCTTAGAATTTCTAAGAAATCCTAGGAATTCTTTGTTGGAAAACTTTGGAAAACAATGGCGGTATTGGCACCAAATTTTCCCAAGAATTCCAAAGTAATCCAAACCTGAAACTTCATCCAGTTCCTAACAAATCCATAGCTTTTCAAGTGAGAAAACAATGGAAATCCTAGGAATTCTCTGTTAGAAAAATTTGGAAAACAATGGCGGTATTGGCATCAAATTTCCCAAGAATTCCATAGTAGTCCAAACTTGAAACTTCATTATCCTAAAAAAATCCATACTTTTGTAAGTGAGAATACACTGGAATACCTAAGTAATCCAAAGTGGACCAATAGCAGTGTAATTAATTCATAATTCATTCAAAGCCAACAAATCCATACATTTCTGATTATGAAAACAATGGAATACTTGGGAAATATGTTAAATGAAATCCAGTTCGTTTGTTCCGAATATCTGTCATAAAAAACAATGAAATGTCAATTTTACAGATGCAGAATATATTTGTTACTTTTGTCATGCATAATATGTTTTTATTAGCATATCCAAAAAAGCACTCTAGTCATCAAGAATTCAAACACATATAGTAATTTGCACATTTCACAATTATTTCTAAGTCAGAGTGTTTTATTCAAACAAATGTAATTTAACATCCATCTAGAACACATGTATATATCCTTCACTTCACATGATGAAACATCTTCTTGACTTGTGGTGTGACCTCTCCGATGGATACTGAAAAATATGAATTAATTGTATATAAATACATGTACTTGTGTTATATGCACAATGTCAATATAATTAGTATTGTTTAAACAGGATTGATAAAAAACATGAAAGGGTGAAAAAAGTTAAGATGGAAAACTTTCATTTCAATGATTTTTGCAGAATATCAGCAAAGAGTTATCAAGTAAATACCATGCTTTGATTTTTTTGGGGTCAAAATCAACATTATGATAAACTTGTGTCAATTATTGACCTGCTTTTCCTATAGCTATGTAATGACAACTTTATGTAATGGCAGTTTAAATTACTTAATGATCTTCACAAGTACTTAATTACCACTGAAAGTTTGAGATGTGTTTAGTGGAGTCAGAATAGAGATGTGTTCAGTGGAGTCAGTATAACAAAAACATGAAGAGCAACATTTTGTTCAGTGTTTGGAAAATAGCATGCATTTATATGAAAACATGTTACTTCGACTTTTTTAAAAAAAAAAAAAACTAAATTATTACCAGGATAGTTCTGTAAGCATTCTGTATTCAACAGTACATTATTCATTTTCCCTGATCTGATATCCTTGAGACGAAACATCTCATGTGACTCCAAGACTTGAAAGTTTGCAACCTAATATGTTGAAAAAATAAACATATGTACATGAGTAACAAGAAATTACAATTAAGGCATATGAATTTTATTAAATGTGAATTTGGAAATTCATTGCTTGATATGGAATCTGTTTCAATCACAAATATTTTGAATGGAAAGTTATAATCTCTGATTTAAAATTGCCCGCCATAATTTAAAAATGAAAAAGATTTTCTAAACTATTAATATTGTAAAGTAACATGTATCTAGAAATACAATCACTAAAACAGTGTATACTTGCAAAGAAAATTTGAAAAGACTAAAATAATAAGTGTTAAAAAATAAAAATACATTTGTACTTACTGTTAGAAATGGTTATATATACAATGATATACATGTAGTTCCCTCCATTTTCACTGAATCATGAAATACACATGTTTAAAATTTCATACTTCCAGAAAACTTTTGTAAATTTGTCCAGTTTAAACTCATTTGATCTAATATCCAATGCTCAAACATAATTTTTCAAGTTATAACTTTTAAGCAGTTAGTAGTTATCTTTCAATGCTTTCTGTTCAAATCACCCGCCTGGAAGGAGTGTTCTGACCTGTGATTTGTTCTGCAAGGGTATTAAGTTACTTGGGAACTACAGTGTAATATAGTATGTTGTAAACCTACCTTACCTCTTTCTATTCTCTTATATCAGATAGGTGAGTTTAACTTTGGTGTTTATGAAAACAGTGGGTTCCACTTGAGGGGTCATAAATATTTACATTGTGGCTGATGCTGATTTGAATGTTCCAGAAATTAATCACTATACATAAGTTACTTCTACACAGGATGAATATATAGATAAAATATATACTTCAATAGAGATACATACTAAATTTATCATCAATTAATAAAGAAACATAAGTGCATAACAATTACATTTGTTCTTAAATTTAACTTGTTTCTCTTTAATTGTGTATTTATTTTTTCTAACTGAGGGTAATGTATAATAATGAACCACTCAGATCTGAGGCTTGATATGAAATACCTTGAAAATAATGAGAGTTAAATGAAAAAACACCTTATGCATTTTCGATGCCAAAGTGTGGCATTATGGAGTTGCATGTGGTTTTTTTTTAGCTTTTTTTTGCAATAAAAAAAGAAACAGTTGAGCTCTTGAGGAGCTTATTACAGTTTCATTTTGTTTAACAATAAATGTTTATTTTGCTAACTGCTACTTTTAATTACAATGGGTACACATGTATGACCAATCTCAATACTAAGTAATTAAATTCATTTGTTCTTGCTGCTTCAACAATTTACAATTGTGTCAATGCCATATTTTAAATTGTCTTTATTTTCATAATGTCTTACAAGCAGAAAACTGTCTTATATTAAAAAGATTATTTATGACTACTTAGGAAAAAAATATTTAAGTTAAATGTATTAAGTGAAGTAAATGTAAATGCAGAAATAAAATGAAAATTTCCTAAGTCCAAAACTTTCTCAAAAATGACTAAGTGTTTTCCAGAGTTAAACTCCTTGAAAATTGTCTAAGTGTTAACTTTCCAGAGTTTCCAGAAGTCTGTTTCATGGTAATTTCTTTGATGAAAAAGTCAAGTTCTAGAGTTCTCCATGAAAATTGTTCCAGAGTACTCTGTAAATACTGTGGAAAAAAGCTTGATTCCATGAAAATTCATGGAAATTCATGGAAAATCAGTTATTTTCCAGACTTTTTCCAGAAAGACTGTGGAAAATCT